AAATTTCCGATCTCGGATACTTTCATCGGCGAGAGTATGTATGTGCCGATAGAGATCGTTCCTGTGTGGTTCCTACTCATCTCGAGGCATCGGCCAATCGTCCTTTTCCTAGAGGATGTCATCCAATCACGAATCCGCTTTGTCAATACTATCCTGAGAAGAGAAGCAAATGACAATTCATTTTGGTTAAGTCCAGCTTCGTCTGATGTAGATACGTTTGTGTACAGCAACTATGACCGATACAAACTGATAAGCAGTGCGAAAGGGTGTGGGCGTGAGTGTGGGGTGGGTGTGGGTGTGGGGTGTGGGTGTGGGTGTGGGTGTGGGTGTGAGCAGGTGTGGGTGTGGGTGTGGGTGTGAGTGCGGGTGTGGATGGGTGTGATGTGGTGTGTGGCTTTAAAAGAGAATAGCACCCACATCCCACACCCACACCCTGGGGTGGGGTGGGTGTGGACGGGTGTGGGTAAAGAGAAGACTAGTGCCGGCTTACACACCCACACCCATCCACGTCCACACCCCACTTACCACGCACCCACATGCACACCCCCACTCACCACACACGCACACCTACACCCACACCCACACGCCCACATCTTCACCCACACACCCCACCCACACCCACCCACACCCACACCCACACCCACACCCATAGTTCTAGTATTTTCTATTTTCCGTCGAGAGTCATGTCATAGATAATACAATAGTTTTGTGCAAGGAGACAACATGTAACTTGAATAGATTGTGAACAAACGAGGGTAGTCTTTTAAGGATGAAGATTTTAACAGTAGAGCCGCTAGCTATGAGTGATGTCATTCCGAGCCCAGACGAACGACTAGCCGTTGATATGAGAGGTGTACTGGAGATCAGCTTCAGAAAAGATCCATATAAAGTTCAGCACTTTTTTCTGAGAAATGAATATGTACAACAGGCTTATCTGACAGTTAAATCAATGGTAACAAGAATTCAAATAATAGTGATTTCAGAAAAACGAAATAAAAAAAAGAAAAGAAAATAGATAACAAGCGAATAGCATCAAAGTATATACAAAATAGAGCACCAGAAAAAAGAATAAAAGAATAGAATTTATGTTCGAAATATACAAATGAATAATGTGAGAACCGCATTTCAGTCTTTTAAGAGCTGCTCTGGCAAGTTTTTATTATTATTATTTGTCATAGAAAATTAAACAACGAATTTCAAGACTTTTCTCTTCCACATTCGGTGTGGGCTCATTTTCATTTATAAAGGCCGTATGGTAGGCAAATTGAGCAACATCAGTCTTGCTATCGAACATTTTAAGGACAAACATCTCATCGGATCGCATTTTACTCAAATAGTACCATATATGAGCATCTTGAGCGTTTCGAGACATAGTATAGGCTGTAGAATGATACCCGGCTCCATGAATTGTGAGTGGATGAACATCTTTCTCCACATCAACCGAGCGATAATCACAAATGGTCAATGGTTTTTCTGTAATTGGATTTGGACCTAATGGACGCCAGACGTTGATTATTTGGAATCGATTTTGCATCAGCTTTTCACCTTCCTCTTTGTCAATCCACTTTTCTACTACCCTTGGAGCTCCAGCTGCAGAGATATCAACGTGAGGATAAAAGACAGGATTTCTATGAGTTTTATCAAGCTGCTCATCGCTTCGTGGTGGACCTCGAGAGCGGAAAGTATACTCATAGATAAAAACACGTGAGGCACCCAGACGTTTCTTAAGAATGTCACTAATTTCTTCATAATAAGTTTGTTGTGCTTGACTGCCTTCTTCAAATTCTTCCTGTATGGAGCCATTGTATTCGAGCACTTCAAGAGCATTCGTATCGAGATTGACACTCTTCTCCTTGCCTCGTAAGTCGTGGATGGTGATACGAACAGATGCTTGTACAAAATTTGTTCTCGACGCCGCTGGTATCGAACTTATCATAGACCAGGGAGAACAACCGTCTGTCGTGGAAGTAAGATAATTAATATTTCCAATGACATCGCTACTCATTGTGGTGAATTCAGAATAGTGCGCACAGATGTTTTTACTAGGTTACGAACGAATCTACCTACTGCAAAGATGAGTTTGTTTTATATACACAATAAGATAAGAAGAGCATTAGAGAAGAGAATAGATGGGAGTATAGAAGATATCGTGTTACAAGTGAGTATATAAGAGCATGAAAAGAAATGAGAGAATGCAGTGATGTTATACAATGATAATAATGCAGCAAGGAGCTCATACATACGGTTGGGAGCGCAAATAAATCAGTTAGATGAAAAGTGGGAAGCATGTGTAAAGTGTATATTTTTTCCTCTTATCTTTCGAAGCAAAAGCCTTTTTTCCTTACTTATTTGTTGTGCGGCATGCTTATTCGACCACGCTACTCCTTTTTCTTTCTCTTTCACCTTTATTCTTGTTGCTTAGGCGCTTCATTCATCTATATCTATCTCATGAAAAAAAAATGGAGTAGGTGACAAGATCTTTTTTAATCGATTTTCTTTGATAATCAAGTATGCATGGTACCCCTGCGGATATACCAAACAAAAACCTAGACAATTCCACAATGTTCTGGATATTTGCTTTTCCTTCTGAGTAGATAGCTGTTCTGTTACTGGTTACGGCGAGGGAAGCTTTACGTACGTCTTGTAGCTGGTGTGATGAATTTCTATGTTTTCATCACTTTTTTTGTTGTTATTCATAAACATTTTTAGTGCATTTATTTGATCTATTTTGGGCATCGTTTTGGTAAACTTATTTTGAAATGAAACTTGTAAGTATTCTTACTGAATTGTCAGAATAACAGCTAATAATTCAGATAGATACTTATATGAGAAACACACGTATGATACTTTTACTTGTGACAGAAAAACAGCTGTTCTATATAGTATCTTGTTCATTCTCTGTATTGTATTACGAAAAAATTCATCATTGTTACAATTTTTTACAAAAAATGGCAAAAATGATACACAATCCACATCTGTAGTATCTTGGAAAACAAAAAAAAAGTTCTCGTTTTTTTCAGATTTAAACGAAAGCAGCTAAGGTATTAATGCCAATGATATTTACCAAGGTCCCTACAGGATAGAATGCTTTAAAGCTCTTTCTCAGGGAGACACTCAAATATGTTTCCTCGTTAGATCGTCTGTGACACGGTCATCAGTTCAAAGAAATCGTTTTTAGAAATCTCTCTGAGAAACTTTAAGAACGCGCTCTCATTTTCTGGGAATTCTATTCTGACCAATCTAAAAAAGAACGAAAGGAAAACTATTCCAATAACCAATGGAAAAATTCAGAAAGTTTTCTATTCAGATGAAGAACGATTTTGGACCGAAACGCATTCGTCAAACTATAGAACGTGTTCTTCTTGATCATGATCGCTGTCCATATTTTTATGAATGCGTTCACTTTCGTTTTTTTCCCGTCAACATTTTTCAATGAGCTATCCTATAAGATCCGAAAAAAACGACGATTTAACGCGTTTTTCTGGAAAAAATCCATGTTCAAACGGCATTAGGAAAATGCACACTGTTTGCATGTGTTTTTTAACAACAGTTCGAAACTTACGAATGTAATTGGATTAAATTCTACTGTTTCTTTCACATACATTTCCTTTTTTATCTGTTACTGAATAATTTGTTTCAACTTTGAATCATCTTCACTTGTAAATTGAAGTTTCAGTCCACAGTCTATTTTTGGGGTGTGGGTGAGGTGTGGGTGGGGTGGGGTGGGGGTGTGGGCGTGGGCGTGGGTGTGGGGTGCGGGTGTGGGTGTGGGTGTAGGATGTGGGTGTGGGTGTAGGGTGTGGGTGTGGGGTATGGGTGTGGGTGAATGTGTTGTTTCAGTCGCACCCACACCAATACCCACGCTCCCATCCCTACCCACATCCCCACCCACACCACACGGCTACACCCACCCACGCCCTGAATCTCGATAAACATCATGTAATTGATAATCGATTTCTTTTTGAAGAGATATATCCTTGTTAATTTTGATTTGATTGTAATCTGCATGGGAATAAAAGGAAATTACACATAATGCATCGAGACCAACAAGTTTATGATCAATTTTCATTGTTCCTTGTAAACTTTGTTCCAATTAAATTAATCGATTTTCTTCATGAGTCCATCTGCAAATACGTGCCAAAGAGATAGATGCCAAATAAAATTTCATGTTTTTTTCTATCTGAGTCAGATAAAGCTTTTCTAAATCTTTCTTGTTCTTGCTCAATACATTTTTTAACAGATATTGCTGTGTCTTCATCTATCATATAATTTCCAAAAAGAAAATTCTCAATTTTATTAATATATACACCAGTTTCGTAATTCATTGGCAGTTGTCCTGTAGCTTCGAAATCGCTCAAATAACCTGAGTTTTTTATGGTTAATGCCCATAAAAAAAATACTGCCAAAATTTTCTAAGTAATGCATACGAAGCATAAGTAGTAATGCAATCAAGGCAGCTTGAAGAGATAGACTCTCGCATGATGGATTCGACAATAACATCAAACATTCAAGTAAAATGTGCCCGAATAGGAGATATTCTCTTTCATCAATGTTCATATCAACTGGATGAATCATAATAAATCCGTGTTCTAATATGCGTAAATAGAGATTTTGTAAATGTGAAGGAATAAATATTAATGAAAATAATAAATCTGTATCATGACAAAATAGTAAATATTGCGGAACTCGATCCAAAACAACAGCTATTCTGTAGCCTGCATCAGATTTTTCATTATTTTCTAATATTCAGAAAATTTTTGTGAAATAATTAAGCAAAGAACAAGATTTTCGTTCAGAATAGAACTGTTTGTCTACAGATAAGATATCATTGAGAAAGCCGTAGTCATTTCGTAGAGAATTAGGTAGATACAATGTCATTCGATCATTAAAATCTGATGTTCCCTTGACTAGAATTGACGTAATATCATTGAAATATATTTTAATCTATGCATACTCATATGCATGAGAGAACTGAATATTAGTTTCAGAGTATCTTGAACTCAATCGACGTCATACAAGCAAATAGTGCCAATACAAAGATCGATTGTCTCACAGGATTCATTGTGGTCTTCTATTCGTGTCACTATTGCTTTTAGACATTCTTGTTTGATCATGATTATATTTTCATTTTGTTTATTTCGATTATTTTTGGTAAGAAAGCGAATCAAAATTGGTGTTACTGCAGTTGATTCTCGATAAATATGAAAAGGATCAAAGACAACAGTAGATCCATCTTTTTTTAAACCAAAATATAATGTGATGATTAAAGAAAATAGAATAAAAGGAGTTGAAGTCAATTCAATTTCTTTACCAAGAAGAAATCCTTTTAAAGTAAAAGTATTGACAGGTAATAAACGATGACTTGAGAAAGTAATTTTAACTAATAGCCAGTCAATAGCAAATTCATTATTTTCATTATCAAGTGTTGACATTGATTCAAGTATTAAACAAGATAATTGAGTTAACCATTTAATGTTATCATAATCATGAGGTTTACCTTCAATGAGATGGCAAAGAGGCGATATTGTTTTATTACTAACTATATGAAGACGATCGTAACAACAAATTGTTAACCCATAGCGGAATAATATCATTTCAAAATTTCTTTAATGCTATTGTAATCGGATCGAGTAGAAACGGACAAACAATTGATCATTGATGTTGACCGACTGAAATGATTAAACGATCTAAAGTATCAAACAAAATTTTATCCGAACGATAATTAACAAGATCATTGACACAATTTATTAAAGTATACGCGCCGAATAGATGAAGAGAATTGAATTTATCTTGTTCTTTTATAAATTCATAACAAAAACGATCAAAATCATGTTGAGACCAAGAATAACTTATTTTACCTAAAGCAAGTGCAATAGGTACACAAAAACGTGGATCATTCATATGATATCGTAATGATTGAGTAATATTCTGTAACGAAGATTCATCACCTTTTCTTTGCTTTGTTCCATAGTTTCTATGTTGATAAGTTGTAAACAAGTAAATTTTTTGAAATGTTAAATGAAGAAAATCATAGAGTGATCCACCACGAGAAGCTAAAATTCCGACATCTTCACAAATAGTTCGTACGAATTCTGATGTTTGATTTTCGATTTCTTGCATATTTGCTTTACTATCAAAATGATTACTTAGAGAATCTTTGATAGATTGAATACATATTTCTTTCATTTTCTCTTCATGCATCAAACCTGATGCAGAATTTTCGTGAATATAAGTTGCAATATTACTAAGAATTCGAATTAATTTTGGTATTGGAATGGTAGATAGTTGATTACACCACCAACTTACCATAGAATTAACAATTGTTTCATACAATAGAATACATTGAGTAGGTAATAGTGAACCTTCTACTTGACTAAAAGCCACACTACAAACGAATGACATCTAACAAAAATTAGAAGCTACATCAAGAAGTGCAGTATGTTTAATGTTTTCTAGTTCTTTTTTAAGTGCTTCACCATGATTTTCTCCTTGATTAACTAATGAAAGATCCAATGTATCAATTATACGTTGATGAACACGAAAGAACCAATAGTCAATAAAATCTTTCATATATTCCATATTCATCGGTCGAATAGTATAATGAGAAAATTGTCCAACTAATGTGGCAGCATGATAGCCAACTATACAGCTTGTAATAATCAATTGATTACCTTCTGATCGAGATGGATCATCTAATAATTTACTTAAATATACATTGTCAAAGACAGAAACTCCTTTAGGTGTCTGAACATAAGTCTCAACAAAATTTTCAACAATATTGATAATTTCTGAACGTTGATTTGACACTGGAACTTCATCAAGGCCGTCAAGTATAATGAGAGCTTGACCTTATTTAATATAATCTTGAAATGCACAAAATAAATCATTAAAAGCGATCGATGAATCATCAATAATGGATTTTCCCATCCATTTGTGTTCTCCAATATAATCAAATAAAGTGAGTGTGGGTTGTTCTCTTAGTAGTTCAGAAAATTCACCAATACGAATAAGAATTGGAATACGAAGTGGTCCATAATCATTTGAATGTTGACCATTGAGAAGAAGTGTTTGAGTCAGACGGCGAACAAACCATCGAGCAAAACTTGTTTGACCACTACTTGAATCACCCAAACTAACAATTCAACGTTTAGTTCGAATAATACTTTTCTCAGTAACATCATCTTCTTGTGAATAGTGATCTCTTTCGACCATTGACATCATGTATGGGGCTGAGACTAATCTTTGCCATATACTTTTTGATGCTACTTTTCTACTATGTTGACCTTGAAATAAATGATTGTCTGATCCGATGAGTAATCGTCGTGATTCATTTCTTTCGAATAATGTCAACTTATCAATTTTGAATTGAATAAATGTACGAGTGAGAGGAAGATTGCAAGATTTCCATTGATATTCTAAACGAGCCTGATCCTCGAAAGAGAATTGACAGAAATTATGAGCAACTTTAGCAGCAATATTACTAGTTAGACCCATAAAAGGTACACTTTTATGTAGTTCAATACAACAGCAAAGATAAGCTTTGATCGTATGGAAATGTTTTTCACGTAGTAGATGAAGTTGTTCTAAAGTATTTTCTTTGGTGCTTTGCTCGATTGCATCTAATGTGCGTCTTATTCTTTCATCAAATACTTTTGAATAAGTTTCTGTTAATCATAATGAGCATTACTAAACATTTGAATTTTTGTTTCATAGTTATCTGTTAAATCAGTTGCATACTAGGCGAGTCGTAGTTGAAGTCTAAGCAATAAAGATTCCAGATCTCGTTAGGTCATTCCTGCAAGTTCAGTCTCATTTTCGCTACAACCAGTGGTAACGTCATCGATTGCATCTAGAGTATGAACCATATCCTCATATGAATGATTTTTATCTCCTATGCTTGTTGTATTCAAAATGTGCTAAAGTTGAGTTAATACAATTACAATTAGTCTCAAATGTTCTTGACACACGGTGAATTTATCTACTCGTTGAATAAGCCTGTCCAGTGTTCCAAATATCGATAAAGTAGAAGTCATTTTAATTTTTGTATAATTTTGTCTAATTAACAAACTATAGCCAATCGACCAATAGTTTGAATAGGGTGTGAGTGTGGGAATTAAATCTTTTCATTAGAAACATCCGTAATCCACACCCACACACCCACACCCGTTATTAACGTATTATCATTGTTTCTAATTATAAAATGAGAAAACAACAGCAATAGTAACTATACGGGGAAAAGATACACGATAGAACAAATGATGCTTTCGCAGTATTTATATCTTGCTGATCCATTCTCATCTATGTTAATAAAAACAATGTTCTATGTTACTATACTTTTCGTAGGGCCGAAGTTGGATGTGTCTGAAGAAAATTAGATGTTTCTGAACAACTCTAAATAAAAAATTACAATGAAGTATCATTAAAATCAATCTTTTAGTAGATGATTTTGATTCGAAGAATATGAATAATGCAGAAATGAGAAAAAATACGTATTAGATTTTATTGTTCATTCAAGTGCATAAATAAAAAAGACGAATTGTACAAATGAATATAAAGTAGATATGTAATTCTTATGTGCTTCTATGACCAATATCTATGATAATTCATTAAAATATGTATGAAATTTCCTTTTCATATTTCTTCCAGTGATTCTCTAGACTTTGTTTAGTAACATCCAATTGTTTCTTTATCTCATCGATTAAACTGATACTTTCAATTAGTTCATAGATGTTTGATACATCGATAGCTGGACAATTTGATTTTAATGCATTCTGTTTTTTTTCATATTCTCCTTTTAATTCAATCAATTGCTTTCGTAAATTTGAGTTCAGACATTGAGAACCTTTTTCTGAACAAATTTGACTTTCTTCAGCAATTATTTGATTGAGAACAATCAACAAAAGATCATTTTGTTTTAGAGTACTGGAAATATAAACATAGAAATGAGCTAACTCTAAAATAACTTCTTTAAGTTTATTGAAATTCGATTTCATCTCCATAATCGATGGCTGATTCACGTCATGCCAAGTTTCATATTCAAGTTTGTAATTAACATTAATATGTTTCGTATGACCACACTTGCACTTGCTACTCATTTCAGGAACTAAATGTAAATCATCAGGTAGTATCCACATTCCGTTAAATTCCTTAGGACTACGTTTACACTCAGAACAAATACTTGACGACTGTGAGACAGCGACAGTTTTAAGTTTTATTTGTGCTTTGGATTTCTTTTCATCTAGTAATGCAATATTTCGAAGAATATTTCGCATTGCTTCTAAAGTTGGACGAATTATTTCATTAACTTTAAGTTGTAAGTGTTCACTCGAATGCCATTCAATATCAATAAAAGATGTCAGTTCTTCAGAAACATATTTAAAAAGACGATTTGATTCAGTTACTGAAACTTTCCAACTCGATCGATATTCTTCTTCTTGATATTTATCAAATTTAATTCCATGTTGAACAGCAACCAAATAACGAAACGATTCATTATCAAACGAAAACGTATTCGCTTTATTGAATGGAATATGTTTATCTGGTACATTATTAATCATTTTTTTCAGTAGTGGAGCTGTATCACCTGGAGCATAAAATGTTGCTCGAGTGTTCGTAAAACAAAAGACAATATTATGGCAAGCATTTTCACCAAAAAAATGAAGCAAACGATTGAAGTATGATCGAAGAATAATATTCAGTCTTGATTCATTCGGTTTAAGAAGTATACAAATGGCATTTAAATGTGATAGATTATTGATGAATAATAAAATATTTTGCATATTAAGATCGTCTTGGTGTATACCGCGACTATCACCAATTCCAGGTGTATCAATTATTCTCAAATTCATTTCTTCGTTCATTTTAAAAACATATGATCTACAATGTTGAGTTACTGATTGACCCGGATGGTTATGATCTTCATTAGAATCATCGTCACCAAATTTAACGATTTGTTCTTCAAATTGATCACCAACTGTGATAAGAAATGAGACAGGCATGAGTACTACAGGTTTACTCGAACAAGCTCTTTCGAAAGTATCAAATTGGAGATAATTAACGAAAGCATTGATAAATGTTGATTTACCAACACCAGATTCGCCGAGAAGAAGAATATTAATAAAATTAGAAGTTGATAGAGATGGAACGTCATCGGCACGGTGTTTCGTTGGTGAACTCGATGAGTCTGCATTGTTGTTTGACTGCTCTTTTTGTGATTGTGCAGCTTCTGGAATACGTGATGGCAACGTATTAGATAGGCTGGTCTGTTTTGGTTCCTTTTTCAACTCTTTATTTGGTGCAGAACCATCTTTTTCCTTTGTTAATCCTGCTGATTTCAATCGTGTTTCTTTTTTCTCGGTGTTGTTCGACTGTTTATCATGAATGTTTAAATGTCTAGCATCACCTGTCTCTAAATTGCTAGTAAGTTTTTCATCG